CAACCCATAAACTCATTTAACTCTAAATTCATTGGGTAATGAGTTGAGTTGAGTTGGGTTAACCATTTTGACACCCCTAGTTGCAGGAATAAGAGTGTTTTGTACCCAAAAAAAAGTTCAAAGATAGTCTTTGAGACACGAATAACATACAATGTAGCTGCAGTCGGTTGTGACGAAGGGTGCTTCATGGTTTGATAGGCAAAATTCAATATTCATTACGGTAGGAACTTCATTACCACTTTTAGAGACTGATGTCTTGAAGACCAGAGCTTCTTTAAGATACTCATTATTAGGATGATTAAATCAATATAGTACAAATGTTTGTACATGTAAGTGTTATGAGTCTAATACTCCTTTTTATTGGATTTTTTCCCAAAAACGTTTTTTCTACTAGTCGTCTCAATCGCCATATCGTAAAGATATTAGTATCATAAATAAGATTTCAAGGATAAGTAATAGTTCTAATAAAGGATAAAAAAATAGTACGTATTATACTATTATATATAATATAACGGACATTGAGACGTTTAAGAAAATTAACATATCAAATAGTAAAACAAAAAAATGTAAAAAGGGAAAGACACATAGAAAACAAATGATATGTATGTGCTTATGAGATAATCAACTTAGTAAAGTAAGTTCATAGTACATGAAAAATAAAAGACTAAATGGTGACATTAGTTTGAGGAATTGTTGTGGAAAACTTGTTGAATTCTTTTTTGTCACATCATTTACACAAATAAAAACTTGAGGAAAGCTTGAGGACTTTTAGTCACATCATTTGGTTTAGTAATATTTTTAAGTTTGTAATGTTATTATTATCATTATTATATTTTTAATAAATTATGAATACTTTGTTAGACAAAAAAAGAATATAATATTACAAATCATATTTTCATAAATCTTTTTTAATAAGTTTGTGTGATGATTACAAAAATAATTAGTTGACTTTTCTTTAAAAATAAAAGACATAAATATTGATGAAATTGGTTAGGTTCATATTGATGACTAAACAATAAAATTAATTTTGTAAACAATTAATAATTAATTTTAATAGCTTAATGTTTTATATATATGATCATTATGTTAGATAAAACTATTAAATATATTAGCGATGTTACAAAGAAAAAACTATTACATATATTAATTTAAAATTCCACCAAAATCTACCTTGAGTATATTTAAAGTCATGAACATTTAAGGATGAAACCACTCATTTCAAAGTGCGAGATTGATCGGTTGATTGTTGGCGACTCTAGATATTTGGTTACACATCATGTTTTGTAGTCGATTTTATCATCAGCATGAACAATTGTACCAAATACAGATGGTGATGCCTTAGGTTAAACCAAACAAAATAAACCTTAATTCCCTTGATATTTTATTTTATTAGGGATCATACTTTACTTGATCTTAGTGGGTTTCACACACCAGAAGAAACCTCCATATATAAACATAAAAATATTTGTTTGAAGATCATATCACTCCACAATTAAGTTATCAATTCAAGATCTCAAAAGCTAACATTGTTATTCACATATATTTACTTTCAATGGCTCATAAATATCATACTAAACTTTGGATCATTCTCGGTTCAATTCAAAACTCGACTCGTTAAATATTCCCATTTTTTGTTATTTTGACCAATCATCATGCATGATCCCAATGCTGAATTAAGGAGCAAATATATTCTCGTAAATATACAACACCAATGTCATTACCATTAATCTTGACCGCTTTCGTTAAAAACCGCTTTAATTTCCGGTTTGCTTTTAGATATATAAAATCTTAATTCTTAGCATGAAAATTTCTCCACTCGTATGGTTAGGTGTTTTAACACGATCTAAAATTTACATAAAACCATACATTTCAGTACAACAAATGGTGCAAGTGGTACAAATTAATGTGCATATTTATTAATATGTCTAAGATTACACGTAAACTGAAAATTACATACAACAGCTTTAACAATATTTTAAAATCCTCACACAAAATATTCGTTATATAAGATTAAGATCTATTCAAACCAAGACTCATATATAGTGTGAAGCCCCGACCCGGTTTTTTTTAAACAAAATTAAATATCCCCATAAATACTTAATTAAATCAACCGATAAAACAACAGCAACCAGCAAGTCAAAAATGCAATTTCTTAAAAATAAACAATTCAACCAACATAACCAGAAATAACTAGCAATCCTAGCATAGTCTTAAACCGGGTTCAAGCAACATAATAAAACGTAACAAAACGAGTTCCTAGATCATCCTCTCTTCCTTGCCATGATTCCACGTCACACTTTTTCTTTACCAGCACCATAAAGAAAGAGATGCGTAAGTATTATCACAAATACTTAGTGAGGCGATCCTCCCATCTACCGGCTATACACACAAGCAAGATAGAAAAATCAAGACACCAAAACAAAAACCAATCAACAAATCAAACCAGACAATTTCAGGAAGCTGAAAAGCTCCCAGCCAGACCTGGTGTCGATCGACACCGACGCCGCAGCAGACCTGAAAAACGCACCTCGCCTCTCCCGGCTCGACTCTCTGCTGCCCACATCGAGTCTCCCACGATCCAAGGCACGAATACAAACATACAGGATCATATCAACCAACAATCACACCTCAAATCATTCTCAATCAACCTATACATTCAAACAAAGCATCAAAACTTCCCAAACTTGCTTAGATAAGCCATGGTCACGCACTCACCTGGATTTAGGATTGATTTGAGACAAAGAACAGCAGAATCCAGCACCACCACGACCTTCTCTCAACCCACAGCCGCTGATCTGCTCTTCCTCCTCTTGCTAACACCAAAAAACAAGCTATCCTTCTCTCCTAAACTCACTCAAACCCTTCTCTTTTCTCTCTAGATCAACCACAAAGCCAACTCTCTCTTTTTCTCTTTTCTGGAACAACAAAACACTCAAAGAATGGAGAGAAAGGAGGCTGTGTCGTTTTTAAAACGAGACATAGGGTTTTTCCCAATCAGTTCCTGACTAAACCAGCAATTTAAAGCGAACCGGTCAAACCAGAAATTATTGGTGTCGACCGACACCACTTGGTGTCGATCGACACTACCCCTCAAATCCGGGTTCGGGATGTTACATATAGAACTATATATTTGTTTTGTTATATTTTCATTTATTTAATATAAGCTCATAGTCATATCCAGCTGGAAGTTACACAAGAATTTAAACAGAGAGAAAATGAGAAAGAAAAAAAGTAGTCAGGTGCTTTGATAAGCATAGGCCTGGGCAAACGGTTTGGACCGAAGAAAACCGAACCGACCGAACCTAATTTTTCGGTTTCGGTTTTCCTTCACTTCAAAATAGAAAACTGATCGGCTGATTGTTAAATTTAGATCGGTTATCTAATCGGTTCGGTTCGGCACACGGTAACCGATCGGTTAACCGCAAACCAAGAGACCTCTAACCCTAAGACTCTTATCTCTCTCCCTCGCAGCCTCTCATTTTTTTCTCTCACGACTTCACTCTCCTTCTCTCACGATTTCGAAGGAGAAAAAAAAGAGAAACACCAAATCTCTTCTTAATCTTCGATCTCCCTCATTCATCTCTAACCTCTGTTTCTTGTAACTCGATTCCTAAATTTTCAAAGCCCCAGATCGATTCGAAGGAAACTATCAAATCGACTCGAACCCTAAACCATCAAAGTCTCGAAATTGTAAGGTCTTCCTCCTTCCTTGTTGTTAAATCTAATGAAATTTGAAGTCTTTAATGTATGTGTGGGGATTTTGTCGTTTGATTTTGTTGTTTGTAGTATAAACCCTAATTCATCAAACTTTCGATTTGGGGATTTGTTGTTTTAATGTTCGATTTGGGGTTTTGATGTCTGTTTAGCTGTTTTATATCTAATGAAATTTGAAGTCTTTAATGTCTGTGTGGAGATTTAGTCGTTTAATTTGGTTGTCTCTAGTATAAACCCTAATTCATCAAATTTTCGATTTGGGGCTTTGATGTTTTGTTTAATTTGATGTCTGATTTAGTCGTTTTGGGTGTTTGATGTTTTGTTTAATATGATTTAGTCATTTAATTTTGTTGTTTTGTTTTAGTTTGATGTCTGATTTTTACATCTCTTTTTACTTCTTCTCTGTAGATGTCTTCTGAAGATTACATCGACATGGACTCTGAGCCAATTCCTCAAGAATCTGCTAGCACTGGAAACAAAAGGAAAAGGGCTACAACTTGCTAGTGATGTTGAAAGTGGAAAACAACTTGGGGTTGCCTTATGATGTTTTAGATTGGTGGAGGTGTAATACGTCAAAGTTCCCCATATTATCTCAACTTGCTAGTGATGTTCTAGCAATTCAAGTATCCTCTGTGGCTTCAAAATCTGCTTTTAGCACTAGTGGAAGAGTATTAGATCCTTATAGCAGTTCTTTAACTCCGTATATGATCGAGGTTTTACTATGTCTGCAACAATGGCTGCGGTGTTCTTATCAGTCTCAAGCAAATGTTGCAAACTTGGTGCAAATGCTGGAAGAAGAGAATTTTCTTGACTCGCTTGGTAAGTATGATTTCACATTCGATAATATTCTGTCTTTTCATTTATAATTGATATAACAAAGTCAGTTTTTTCTTGTGTAGATTCTCGGAATTCAATAGCACCTTCTCAGTGATCTTCATCTTGGAATGAAATGGAATGTATGGTATGAATCTAATTTATTTGTTTCTGTTTTGTTTCTTGTAACATCAGTCCCTAGCTAAGTTATGACTTATGAATGTTTTCTCTTTTGTGAATGCAGCATCGTTGTTTCTTGCCTTGATAGGAACCAGAAGTTAAAGCCTTGCGCTTGGTATTTTGCTATTTTCATAAGTTGCACTTATGACTCTCCTCTTTATTTCAATAAGACCTTAATTTGGATGTTTTGGGTTATGTTATGCTTCTCTTATGAACTTTTACTGCTTAGACTTGAAGTAGAAACTGGTTTGTAATATTATTGTCGTTTTTTGTTGCATTTGGTCTAGAATTTGGTCTATTTCGGTTCAAATTAACCGAAATAGAAATCAGTTCGGTTATTTTCGGAATTGATTTAAAACCTTGTAACCGAACCGAAATAACCGAATGCCGAACCGAACCGAACCGAACTTTTATTCGGTTCAATTCGGCAAAATTTTTAATAACCGAAAAAACCGAAAAACCGAAAAAACCGAACCGAATAACCCGAAAAAACCGAATGCCCAGGACTAAGCAAACAATTTTGTGGTTTATATGAGTTTTAAACAAGCAAACAGTCCCTTCGGGGACATCCGATAAAAAAAAAAAAACAAGCAAACACAAAAAAGAAGAGAACTCCAAAAACGACTTTATACCAATATCACTCACGTCACGTGTGGACCAAACCAAATCTTTCTCAAATCGCAGCCAAAAGGAAATTTGACAATTTTTATTTTATTTTATTTTTATTCATTAAGAAAATATTCTATTAACACACAAACCGAATAAACTATAGACAAAAAAAAAACAAAGAGAAAAGATCATATTTGAAAAAAAAAAACAGAAATTTATTCCAAAAACAAATTAAATTCGGTTACAGAAAGGGAGAAATGCCAAAAACAAACTTTTTATTATTTTTTGTTTAATTTAAGGTCAAAAGAACAAAAAAATGACAGTGATTTTTAAATCGTTTTATTATTGTTTGTTTAATTTTAGGAAAACCAAAAAAAAAAAAGAAATCTTTGGTTATATCTTCTCCGATCTTCTAGGTTCCATTTTTAATCTCTCTGATTCAGTTATTCTCTCTGACCAAACGTTTCCAAAATTTTCTCTCACTTTCTCGGGAAAATTTACAACCAATCCTAGAAAATTCACACAGCTATTTTTTAACTCATCCAGATTTTCCTTAATCATCATCATCCCTCTCCCCTATTTCTACTTTATCATCCACAAGTTTTTTCACAATCCTGGGATCATCATCATCATCGTCATGATTTGATTAGCAAACATAACCCAGAATCAAATGATGAATGACCTTATCAACGATGGGTCAATTTTCACTAGATTCTATTTCCTCGGAGAAATCTGAGAGAAAGAGGTTATTTCACTAATCGTCTTGTCACGTGCGAACGTTTTTATTTCCTTTCTCTCAAATGACTCGTCACGTGATTTTAAAATCGCCGTTGTTAGCTTCAACGGAAGAATCAACGATGAGAAACTCTCCTCCTATGACGACGGCGTTGAGCAAAGAGAGACGCAAGGTTGGGGAGGTAGCGGGAGGAGCGGCGGCGGAGTGTGCGGCGGTTTGGTGTTGTTGTCCATGCGCGGTTGTGAATCTGGTGGTTTTAGCCGTGTATAAAGTTCCGGCGGCGGTTTGTAAAAAAGCTTGGAGACGAAGTAAACGACGACGTTTTACGAGGAAACGACATGGTTTGCTTGCGTCAGCGACGGCAGAAGGAAGTGAGAGCACCGTACACGCTAGATTGAATGGGGAAGATCTAACGGCTGAGATTGTTTTTGAGGATTGTCAAGTGAATGGTGAGTTAAACGACGTCGTTAGGCTTGAGAATGAAATGTTGGATCGTTTCTATGGGGCTGGCTTTTGGAGAAGCCCTTCACAGAGGGACACGTCATCAGGAAGCCTATGAATTCTTCTTATGAGTCTTTTGGGTTTTTGAAAGAACTATAGTAATTTATTTATTAAAAAAATATATGTAAGTTTAATTGTGTGGGTATGTGAATAGGAGAACCTAGCATCCTTTATACAATTTTATTTGTTTTCTGTTCGTTTTAAATGTAACTATGTCTCATTGTGTTAGAAATTAATGGAACCCATAAAGACCCAACAGGATAAAATCGCTAAAACCCTAACCAAACCGAACTGTGTTTTTTAGGGTCGATTCCGGTTCCGATTTTTATGTTTCTGCCTAGGTAAAACAACGTAAACATCAATGTGATATCTCAATATGTTATGATGAACATGAACTTAATATAGAGTTATGTGGATGTTTATTGCTCGGTTTAAATAATGAATCAATTTCATCATGATTCTTAGTTTTGTTAATGGGAAATTTTGATAATGAAAGTGTATTTGTTTTCATTGATCAAGAACTCTTTATTTTTCTTAATCAAGAACTCATTGTTCTTTCTTCATATCGTTATCCATTCTTTGTAGTTCATGGTAGTTGAAAATGCATTCGGGCCTTATGAGCAATCAAATGTACATTAGTTATACATTAAACATACATAAGAATAAACCAATAGTCAAGTGTGTGGTCATTTTAGATTATCCCCTATATATTAATCGAGAAGCATTTTAAATAAAAAAACCTTACCTTCACGTGTGATTTATAAGACTGTCATGCTGACATGTCGCAACCAGAAAAAACTCTGAGCAAACTTAATAATTATCCAATATTTACTAGACTAATTACATATAATGCCATTAGTGGTATTTTTTTTTTTTTTTTTGGGCAAAACATTTCTTTTACTGATTACTTAGGGTTCATTACAAAACAAGAGGGCTTCTTTCGCCAAAGCATCAGCTTGACGATTACAATCCCTGGGAATAAAATTGAAAGAGCAGAAATCAAAGTTGGAAGATAGAGTCAGGATATCGTGGAGAATCCCGTGGAGTTCCTTGTGTGGAGTCTCCGAATTGAGGGCTTTGACAAGGTTTAGCGAGTCAGAAGCGAAGAAAAATTTGGTGTACTCCAATTCAATTGCAACTCTCACCGCTGCAAGAGTTGCTAAAGCTTCAACAACCAACGGGGGATCGGACATGATGATAAGTGGTACTTATGCATATTTTTCCTCTATATTTAAGAGATTAGCAATTAATAAAGAAAATTAATTAATAAAAACTATATATATTGACGAAACAAGTAAAAAGTATATATCATGATGAACAATATATAATATAAATGTTTATTATATGTTTTGTACTTATATTTTTTTATATGTTTTATAAAAAACATTTAGAATTTTAACATATATGACATTCTATTTTTTGTTATAAATTACAAAACATCTAAATGTATATGTGAGCCCATATGTTTCTTAAATATATTTGGAACATAGTTTTACATAAATTAGTTAGTAACATTTTATTTATTACACATTCACTATGAACAATATTTAATATTAATCTATGTTAAAAATGTATCCGCTTACTCATTATTTTCAATATTATTTCTTTTCAAATTTTTACCTTATCAATTTATTAAAACTTTTACACGGCTTACTCAATTTATTAGTCATTTACTCATTTTAGTTACAATTTATTTACAACCCAATACCTTATCGTAACAATATAAATTGATTCATAAAATGAGGGATATGCAATAAATCAATCCTAACTACATAGAATTATCAAGAATAATAAAGGATAATAAAATTTTATTACGTTTAAAAAATAATTATTCATACTCTTTTCAGTTTTTATATTGATTTTTTTCCAAAATAAAATCTTAATTAAAATACAAAAATATTCGAATATATTTCAGAATTATAGGAATGATATTTCAAAAAAAAACTTTGGTCAATATTTTAATTTAAAATCTTATTCCTAATATGGAATATCCTAATTCCTAACTAATAAAATCTCCAAAATATATGAGTTACTAAATCATATTCAAATATTCAGCGGCTCGTAGGTATG